CTATAACGATTTAGATTATACAGTAGAATCCCGTTAATTCGGACTCTGAAGGGATATATGTTTATTGTCCGACTTATCGAATGTCCGAATTAATCAAAGCTCTCGTTAAGTCGGAGTTTTTGAAAATGTCTGACTTATTGAGACTTCGAGACTTATCGAATGTTCTTCGATATATAAATATTATGTACATATATATAGAACAATATAATCTTATGTGAAATATATATTTTTGTATATATATTATATACTATAAACAAAAAAAGTCCGAAATTGATGTTTGTTTCAGTGACTCGCACAATTGTTTTTCAAACAGCTTTGAAGCATTCAAAGCTACTCTTCCAATTTTACCACTCTGAGTAAACATCGATATAAATAACAAGGGTGTCAATTGCTTTACGAACTTCTTCAGTCGTTGGCTTAGTCACCGTTTCTTCTTCAACTACTTTCAACTGCATTTTTTCTTCAACTACCTCAATAATATTTTGAACAATATCTTCATCTGTCATCATTCTTCCTATAACCGAAACGTCATCATCAATTGTTAACATATTTTCGTTAGTAAAATCTTCCGGAACAAGATCTTCACCACGCTGTAACTGTATTTGTTGAATTTTTTAATGCAGGGAAGTATTCTTAAACTTTGTCTGGTACTCCTACTTCTTTCTTAAATCCTGCTTTGCGGAAGCAGTTAATAATAGTGGTTTCTGAGGGAAAAGATTACTACATCTGTCCAACAACATCTGTGGAGTAGTGAAATAACATCCGTTCATTTTTGTGTAAGATTATCCGTTTTTTTTCTTTACTGAATTAACATCTGTGCAACAACATTCAATATTTCATTGAAGTCTAATAACATCTTTGAAAAGATGTAACTTCATCCAAAAGTTTTTCCCGATATGTAACTACATCCGCCTAAAATAATGCATTATTAAAAATAAAAAATAAAATAAAATAAATTTCCGGACGTAGTTACATCCGAAAAAAATCAGATGTGTAATTGCATCTGGTTAAAATAATGCTTTTTTAAATTATTTTTTTCCCGGATTTAGTTACATCCGAAAAAAATCAGATGTGTAACTACATCTGGTTAAAATAATGCATTATAATAATTTTTTTTTTGGCGGATGAAGTTACATCCGAAAAAAATCAGATGCGTAACTACATCTGGTTAAAATTATGCATTAAAAAAAAAAAAAAAAATCGGATGTAGTTACATCCGAAAAATCTACAGATGTAAATGCACGGATGTTATTATACATCAATGAAATTTGGGATGTTGTTTCACGGATGTTATTATACATGGCAAAAACGGATGTTATTGCCCTGACCCGTTTCTGAAACTTCATTCCAAGAATAAACAAGCATTTTCATAGCATCAAGTATGGAGATTAAAGGGATTTGTTTTCCGTTATTAATAGCATTTATGATCTTGTTAATTAAATTAGTTTGGTACTTACACTTCAACAATCAACTGACTCCTTGATCCATCGGCTGCAAACATGAAGTTGTGTTTGGGAGGAAAAGTTGTAGTGTGACCGATTTAAGATTTTTAATATTTGGATGTGCGGTGCAATTATCAATAATCAATGCTACCTTACGGCAAACTTTTGCAACTAATGCAAACTTTTTGTCATTTTCTTTAACCCACTCCTCAGAGGTCAACCAGCTCTTTTTTTGCGCACGGTAACGATATGGAGTGGTTCTAATTGCTTTAAAGGAACGGGGTTTGTTTGATTTCCCAATAACAAACATTGGAAGTTTTTCTGCACGCATGTTAGCTGCAGCAACCCCAAATAGTCGAATCTTGCAATTCTTACCTCCACTAAATTTCTTACCTTTCAAAAATTTTTGGAAGTGCTTTATAAAACAAACCGAACTCATCTGCATTGAATATATCACGCGAGTTATAACTAAACAATATTGTCGGCAAAGTTGATTCCTTGCGGTCATATCATTAGTAACATCTTGACTTTCCCCTATGAAAAATAAGAAAAGCAACTTTAAAATCAAATTTTATTAGCAGCATAAATATTATTATGGTTTACGACTTTATTTGCTTTTCATGCTAAAACGTGGTGATGACTTTAACCAAATTAAAACAAAAAAATTGGATTGATAATTTATTGGTTTATGGGCGACGGAATAGAAACGAATAGAAGACGAAACGAGAGTTCCATGCTTATTATTATTCTTTAGACAAATGACTGAAAAAAATGTAAATATCAATGAAATAAAATGATAAAATATTACTATAAATAGATATTGTTTTAAATGATTCATTGTTTCTTTTTTTTTCCATCTATCTAACCATCCATCGGATGCCTGAAAGTTGTCAACCAAGTTATTTTGCAATATGCAAAGCTTTGACTTTAAAAATGGTTCCAGACACGAATGTTTTGGTGTCGTATAACATGCTTTATCCAAATACTCATTTAGGGAGACACGATTCCGCACTTTTTTCGCAGAAGTTTTATTTTTTTCGACTTCTGAACATATTGTGTTTTTTTCCTTTGACCATCCAGACAATGTTTGCTTTGACCATCCAGACAATGTTTGCTTTGACCATCTAGACAATGTTTGCTTTGGCCATATTTCTTAGATATACATACAAATGATTCTCCTTTTTCAAGTTTTTTTTAGTATTTTGTATTTTTCTGTTCAACTTGATAGCTTTCATTTAGCAATCTTCGGCATTTTTAGTAAATTAAAGTTGATCAAAGTACCGAGTCGAAGGTATCAGTGAAAATGTTTAGTTTGTTAAATTACGGTTGACGCAAAGGTAGTTTATTTTCGATCTAAGTTTTGAATTTTAATTGATATTTTTGAATTTTTAATGTAATAGTTATTAACAAATAGACTTTAATCGAAGCTTAACTGAATCGAAAGATCTTCGTGAAAATGTTTTGCTGCGTTTAATTGTATTTGATGCAAAAGTATTTTATTTTCGAGCGTTTAAAATTTTAAATTTTTATTGAAATATTGGAAGTTTTTTTTTTTATATGCACTTATATGCAATTCAAAATAAAAGTCCTAATTAAGCAAAGTTTTTTGCTGAAGAGACCTCAAAAAGCAGTACGAGTTAGCGAATGGTCCGACTTAACCAGGGTACGACTTAAAGCGGATGATTTTACAGTAAGTTGATAGAGAATGTTCAAGGGGAATTGAAAATTCGTCCGACTTAGTAAAAGCGGGATTCAACTGTAAAACTCGAAAAAAAAATTGATCCATCAAAGAATCTGGTATACAAATTGCCCAAGAACAGTACTTTGTAAAATCTTTGCTCTTCGTGTTTATCAAACTGTTAACAGTTTGATAAACAGGATGAGCAAATATCCTACAAAGTAATGTTCTTGGGGAATTTGTAGATTCTAAATTTAAGTTACTAGAATTCCACAACCAAAAATTACACGAAAGAAACCTAACCAATTTATTTTGAGCACTAAAAAACTGCTACGCCAAGAGTATTTATTACTCTTTTAAGTTTTCGACAAGGTTTTGTCACATTAGCTCATATGTATAGTATTAGTAAGTCTTACAGTTGTAGCATACTTACAACACGGATAATAATTTTTTTTTATCCACTTAAAAATTATTAAGTTTTGATGTTTTAATTCTCGATAACAATTTCAAAAGTTTCATACATAAAATTTGAATAACATAAAATAGTTAAAATTAAGTTGATTGTACTGATTTACTGTTATGTCCAATGGTAAGCTGTTGTTATTTATATCTAATCAAATCCAATGGTATGTCATTTATATCCAATTAAATCTATGTCATTTTAAATGCTATGTCATTTTTCATTAAATGGTAAACATGTCTATGTAAAGAATAAGTATCCACTTATTATTTACGTACACATGAAAAATCAATTCCAGTTATTTATTTATTTTTTTTCAATTTCAAAGTTAAAATATTGTCTTTAATATTTCAGGTATCAAAAATTTTCGTCCTTTCTTAGGAAAGGTTTGCAGTTAGTTTTATTTAAATCGACATTTTTTTACACTTTCTTTGTTCGCAACACTCAATCCATCATTTTATCTCGTCGACATTAGATTCAATAAGTCATTTTTTAAAAATGCTTCAGGATCATCTTTTCCAAAAGAAAAAACCTCGTTCAAATTTTTCTCCAATAACAATATAAACTTATATCACAGTCATAAGTTTTATAAGAAATGCATTGAACTTTACAGAGCATTATACGAATATATATTTCCTTATATATCCTTATAGAATATATATCCTTATACGAATGATTTGTTTGTCCGATTATTAATCCCAGAATTCTAAATAGTAAAATTTCGTGACGTCGATCAAACGGTAAGCAATTACAAAAAGCCGTAAAATACGTCTTTAATAGGTCTTCCACTATATAGTTCTTAATAACACTTAATAATGTGTCGAGGATATTAAGAAGAGAGAGCATAAATTTAGTTTGGTTTTCGTAATATGATTACGAAAATCAAAAAAAAAATTTACTTACTGCTTCTAAGTTTGCAGTAAACTAACATTTGGTTGGGAAGTTAACATTAGGTAGGGAAGCTAACATTAGGTAGGGATGCTATCATTAGGTAGAGAAGCTAACATTAGGTAGAGAAGCTAACATTAGGTAGAGAAGCTAACATTAGGTAAAGAAGTTAGAATTAGGTATGAATGCTAACGTTATGTAGGGAAGCAAGCATTAGGTAGGGAAGTTAACATTAGGTAGGGAAGCTAGCATTAGGTAGGGAAGTTAACATTAGGTAGGTATGCTAACATCCAGAGACTTTTTCGTCCTCAAGTTAGCATAGTTTTTGCAAAACGTTTGAATTATTTGTTTGAGATAAGGTTATCTCAAACACCAAAAATAAAAAAGGAAAAAAAAACATGTCTACGCTCTCGAAAAGCCTTTTCATTTATAGGTAGTTATTTTATTATTAAATAGATGACAAATTTGTTAATAATTCTTTTCTTTTAACATAAATTTGATATTTATTTATAAATGTTTATACTCTGTTTAGCAGGTTTGATTGGCGGCAATAAAATACTTCAACAAGATATAAGTTCTAAAAAGGAGTCCGATTTAAACGTGTTTCAGAAACGGAATCGAGAAAAAACTACTCAAATAAAAAGGAAACTCGATGAACGAGATGATCAGACCGTCATTTCAATAAAAAATGAAAACACTGAAAATTTTAATACGTCTATTCTACCTAAAAAGAAGCCATCATTGATTCACACCAAGCAACTAATGAAAGAAGGAGGATTCCTGGAAAGACGTTCACAACACAATCTTGAGTTAAAAGAAAAAGCAAGAACGGAAAGTTTATTAAAGTCTGTCCAACCTATCACGTTTATTCCAAATAATCCTAAATCTGGTCTCATTTATAAGAAACGCTATGTTAATCAACTTTTTGTTAGAGGTGACAATATTATAATGGTGGCTTACGATAAATCTTTATAAGTTTAAATGAGTTTTAACTTGATATAATAAAAATTTTTGCTATCGTTACGCACTCTGGCAGTTTTGCGTTTCCTTTTTTTTTTAATTGTTTTTGCTCAGAAGCTTAAAGGATCTATAAAAGCATTTCTCAGCTCGTTTTGTACCGTACCCTTTACATATTTTTTGTGGCCAATGATAACATTTGTAAGTGAGAGTGGGGTGAGATGAGACAAAAAATTTTGTTTGCGTGTTGCTTTATATCTTTCACAAACACCACAAAATTGGGGTTAAAATTATAGCTCAATGATTTGTCATAATTACATTATTACATAACTCATTAATTATGTAATAATGAAACCATTATTACACAATTAATGAGTGAATTACAATTCATTGGGCAATGCAGTTCACGGCATTGGTTTTTTAATGTGATACTATTTGTGCCATGTCACCCCATGTGTTTAGGTGAAATGGGACAAGTTAAAAAGAAAAGTCTGAACATTTTTTTATTCTGTCTATTCTACTCATAATATAAATAACAATAGCCATAATTTATTTTTGGTTGGTAGTTTCCGACGTACGAATAGTTAATTTTGTACGATTTAGAAACAAATAAAACCATTCAGTGTCAACTGTTTGATTCCTTTTCCAGTTTTCTGGTATTTTAATGTCGTTTTTAACTGCATATCGATATGCAAGTTACTTTATTTTAAACTTATACATATTTCTATAACTTCCGAGTGGGCATCGGACCTAAAAAAGACGTCTTTTGAAAGTTCAAAAGACGTCCAAAACGTTCAAAAGACGTCTAAAACGTGTATAAGACGTTTAAACGACGTCTTTTTCACGTCTGTGTCCACTGGGTTATCGGCTAGGGTTTATTTATCAACTAAGTACCGATTTTAGCGACTTGCTGTGTTTATAATAAAATTTTGTCTAACAACATTTATTACATTGATAGTGGAGTTTAGTATTTTGTGGTTTTCTATTTGAATATAATAGTTTTCATTATTTTATATTATCATTTTTTTTTTTTTTTTTTTGTTTTTTGTTATTTTTGTTAACATTTTTATTTATATTTTATTTTATATGCTTAACTTATAACTTATATATTATTTTAATTTTGTTTATAGTATTTGGTATTGAATTCACATTTCACACTCTCACTATCATTCACATTTCGCATTTTCACATCACATTTCCCACTATCCATATTGTTTCTTCAAAAATATTAGTGCTTTACAAATTGGATGAAATTAGGGTTTTGGCTGTTTGCAGTGAGGTCTTTTTTTACTGCAGTATGGAGCAGGCGCAAATTGCAGCTTAAAGCATAAATGGCGATGTTTATCTGACGGGATAAACTAAGTATTGGTGCTGAGCCTTTTCGAAATGCCGGTAATAATAAACGCAATTCTATAGAAAAGTTTATTATCACCACTACATAAGTTATGATTACACAAAAGCAACAATGTTTTTTCTTTATCTTATACCTCCTATCATTTTATGTTAATTCATTTTAACATTGATATATCTATGTATATGTATATATATTTATAATACAAATTTAGTTAAACTTTTGTATTTAATGAAGATTTATGGTTACTTATGTGTCGTGCTTTGTTTTAGGTATACTTTAATGATAAAAACGATAAAAAATGTTGACTATGATGTGTGTATTAGCTTTTTCTTCTTAAAATAAATCTGTGAAATTCTAAACATCTGTTCGTTTTTCTTTGTTTTTATTACTTATCCTATTGGTATTGGAAAAAGTTTCTTGATTAACCTTAATTTTTTTTTGTAAAATCGCTTTTAAAAAAAATATTTGATAATTTTTTGGAAGAAAAACCCAACACTATTTTAAATAATGAAAATATAACTAAACTTGAATTTAATAAAGCAATTGTTAAACTTAAACTAGCTTTACTCTTTTTCATTAAAAAAGAAAAAACAACCAAATAATCTTCCGTTAAAATGCCTAAACTGCTTATAAATTAAAATAAAATTAAACGTGAAAAATATACAAAATTTTTAGGAGTACTTTTTTAATGAAAATTTGTCATGGAGAAACTAAATTGGTCTTCTTGAAACAAAGATGTCCTCTGTAATAGGTGCTATGTTTAAGTAAAGACCTTTTCTCGATAATAAATCACGTAATATGGTTTACTTTAGTATTGTATATAGTCAGCTTTTGTACGCAAATATTGTATGGGTCAGCACCCATAAAAAAAAATTGCTTAAAGTCTGCAAAACTATGCATGCAGAGCAATTAGTTATTTAAATAGGTTAGTAAACCCGGCCCCAGTGATAAAAAGCATGATGGTTCAATATTAATTTTTATGTATAAATATACAAACAATCTACTCCCAAGCGTCTTTCAGATATTTTCTTGATATCATTTTCTAAAAAATAACTGCGTTCAAATACCAGGTACAACTATCACCTAGGGAAAATTAAATTACAGCAGTCTTGCTTTCTAATTACAAACCGTGGTCCATCCATATGGAATTATTTCCAAAATAGAATTTAAAGATCTAAAAAGCATTTCATCGTTTAAACGCAAACTAAAATGCATCTTGTTAATTCCTGACATATATATTATAGCCTACAGTATTTGTTTTCAAATTTTTGAATTTTCCTTCTTTTTTTTTCTTCTTATTTGCTTTAATATTTTTTATTTTCAATTTTTTACACTAAAAAAGTATGACCTTTTTTTATTGAATTTTTATTTTACTTTAAAAATTAAAGTGTTTTTTTAATGAGTGGCTAAATGGGCTCTATGAAAAGGTTGTGATGATAAACGCATCATCCTCACCTTCTTTAAGTCCCTGACTGATTATAACAGTATATATATATATATATATATATATATATATATATATATATATATATATATATATATATATATATATATATATATATATATATATATATATATATATATATATATATATATATATATATATATATATAATGAAAAAAATTAAAAACGTTGTTACCGAGGCTTTTATGTTTACGATGATATTTATTTTTTACATAATTTTATGAAATCGTTATATTGTTTTAATCAGCGAAATAAAAGTTAATTATAATAAAAAAAAATACTTACTAAATTGTTGATTCAAGAGAATTATATAGCAAGAAAAGGTTTTTAAAAAAGTTGTAAATTGTACGTGTTTGGAAATCATAAGGAGGAGAAAGAACTCTAATGCACTGACGTTCGAGAAAAAAACAAGATGAATAAAATTTCTTTCCGCAAAAAAGCGACAAATACAAAAAATGGAAAGTTATATGATAAAAAATAGCTGATGAGTGTTGAGTCACTCAAGATTGAATTTTCGTTGATGGAAGAAGTAATGATAACTTATTTAACAGATGATGTTAGATAAAAGTCGTATGATGATAGATGAAAGCCTATTGTTTCTATAGTAGTGTTTGTAAATAAATGAAAAGGCTGCAAAGTTAATGATACTACAGAGACCTGGTATGAATTGAAAAAAAAAAAAATTCTATAATCTATTCAAAAATATAAATGAATGGTGGTAGATTGGGAAATAAAAAAGAATCCAAAATGCAAAAATCTCATAAAATATCTGGGAAAAAAATGAACTACAACTAGAATATAAAAATAATCCATAAAGACATAAAAATTAATTTTGAGTTGTTAGAAAAAGATTATGCTACGGGAGATAAAGCTAAAGGAAAAAGAAATTTTGTTTTTTTTTCGGTTTAAAAGATATTTATTTAATTTAATTGAAGCTGTGTTTTTGAGAGTCTCAAGAAAGAATCTAACTACTGTAGATGTTAGATTTTAACAGCTGTTAAAATCTAACATCTACAGTATGTTTTATTTAGATTTATTTTTTTATTTTATTTTTTAATCTTATGTTTTAGTTTTGTTCTATTTAAGTTTATACAGTAAGTTTATTTTTAAAATCTATTGATTGTAAAAATAAACTTAAAAAAATTTGTTTCACAAATTTTTTTAAGTTTATTTTTAAAATCAATAACTGGTATGCTATTGACATTTTCATTGTCCAAACGATTCCAATTTTCAACGCGGTTTGTGAAGAAATGATGTGTCGGCAAAAAGTTTCAAACAAACTGCTTTCTCAATCAACGATTGTGCCCTCTGGTAAGCTTGCCCAATATTTCTAATACACGATTCTATTTGATTTTGTTTATGAGTTTATACATTTGGATTGTCGTTTTCTCTTCTATTATGTAGATTCTGTAAGGCTATTTTCTTTAATCTTTGCACGTAACTAGCGCCCTTTCTTTAACCAGCTTTCGTAGTTTTTAATTGAACATTTTTGATTAATTTATATCTTTATATCTTTAAAATTATAAATTTATATCTTTTAAAAAATATGGGTTCCATATTTAAGAAGCATATTTCGAACGATTATATATAACATATATAACAATTTCACTCGCTTCATAAGCGAGAGGTTCCGAGTTTGATCCCCACCACGTCCCTGGTAGTACCACGCTCAACTTGTTTCTCCGCGCAGCGGCTTTGTTCGTCAAGGTTCGTGTTTTGGAGTTGTAGAGTTGAGACAGGGTTATAACCACTATTAAGTAGCCTCCTTGTCTGTAGTGGCCTTCTCGCCTTGAGGAGGTGAATAACAAAAGAAAAAAAAAAAATTTCGTTAATGTTTCATCTGGATAGAGAACTACACATTTTAATATACCCAATTTTTGATTTGCCTTACTTACCACTTTTTTAATGCGTATTCCCATGTTAAAATGTCCGAAACATAAACACCTAGGTCTCTTTCCAATGACGTTACTACTAGTTCATGTTGATATCTGTTTTTGTAGCGTTAAATTTTAAGCTACATTTTATTTTTGGATTATCACAACCAAAAAGCATGATTTTACATTTTTCTTGATTAAAACTGATTTGCCATTTTTTTGTCCAGTTAAATAAGATGTTAAGATCAAACTGTAGAGAGTAACTTGTTTAATTTTTTCTATGACTGCGATTATTTTTAAATCATCAGCTTTAGTATAATTTATATATTATAA